TAATTGAGGATAAACTCAGAACCAAGATCAAGGAATTAAGATAATTCCAAGCAAATAGATATACACACACACACACACATATATATATATATATATATAGTGAAAACTGGGGAATATAAATCAAAATACCAAAAAATATTCTGACCTTCATCGAATTGTATCGAAGCACCAAAGTAACTTCCTTAGCTGCAATATCTTTAGGTCCGATCTCGAGGCGGATTGGAACACCCTTGAGCTCCCAGTGATTGAACTTCCAGCCGGGAGAGATATGCTGGCGATCGTCCAGGTGAATGCGCAATGGAACTCTACAAGAATGACCAGTCGGTGCAGAAGCTCCACGACACTGACCAGCTTTGGGACAACGCACTCGGGAAAGGCGTTCCGTCAACTCCAAGGCCTTAGAAAGAAGAGAGTTCCGATCCTCTGAAGTTGTATGCGCAGTCAGCCCGCAAGGCACTACAACAACCTGCAATAGAAGGAAGAAAGCCCCATGAAATGTATGGATATGAAAAACACTGAAGAGTAATTTTGAGCAACTTCTTAAGCATCCGCAAATGGAATAAAAGGAAACAGATGAAACAATATTACCGATAGAATATGGCAAAAAAACTAAAAATCCAGGAGTAAAGTGCGGAAGCCTCATGAGACGCAAGGCTAAGTGAAATTCAAAAGCATTATGGGGCTTATTAATTACACTGTGGGAACTTTCGTTATCAGGGCTTGAACCAGCTGAAGCGAGCTAGGGCTATTACGTTGTCAGTCATAAATTGCTGATATTCAAGAGATATATACTCATCAAATATATGAGTAACGTCGTCGATTATAATGGAAAGCACAAGTATGTCCATTCAAGGGCCCCACTATAAAATGCAATATGGGGAAGGCCTGGCTGTTCTTTAATACCACATCTGCTGTAAGCTTCTAGGCCCCAGGGCTGTGTAGAAGAGGTAAGGTTTTGCCAAGATGCGCACATCGTTTGAAATGCTTTGCCAGCGAAATCATCTTTGGAAGCAGGTTTTAATTTCAATGGTATAGCGGGACTAAGTCATTTCATTGTGGAAGCTTTTGACACCAGTACCTAACTCAGTATATGTGACCTAAAAAGACCTAAGTTATTAGTCAAGAAATTTATCCAAGATTTTATAAAGGAAAGCAACATGGGCTAGGTTGATATGAAAGTGTTATATATAAACACGAAATCTAGGAAGGCATATAGGTTACCACAAAATAATATTACTGATATGATAACTAGTTAATTAATATTATAGAAAAAAATTAAATTAACCAACATAAAAACTAGAGATTTAATTTGAAATAAATCAAAAAGGTAAATTATTATACATAAAAGAAAATAAGAAATTTTTAACAATGTTAGATAGAAAAGAACGTAACCCTATGATTCGAAAATCTTTGTGCGCAATTAATTAAGATTAATATCCGTAAGTAAACAATCATACGAATTTTGTCATGGAGCTAGATCATCTTGTCATTAATTAGGAATAAAAACAAAACCTTAACCCGTGTTAGTAACCTCGAAGAATTAATCATAACTTTCAGTAAAAGACTAGCTTAATAGAGAGGCCTGAAGTCACAAATCAAGACCATTATTTTAACTCAAGACTAATAGAAAATGAAAACCACCTACTAACTTCAGAGAATCTCAGAGATATGTAATCTAGTAGCAAGTAGGCATTTGAATCCATTTAGTTAAACCGGTATAAAGGGAAATTGGGGTCCCCAGTTTGGCTTGAGAAGCAAAGAAAATTGCTTTGCCGGAAGTTATTAAACATTTTAGAGGATAAATGAATACAATGA